CAGGACCCTCCTGTGGCGTGTTGTAGGTCAGTTATTGCCAGAAGGGACAGAGCTCAGTGAATAGGCCCAGATTTTTTTCTAAACACTCCAGGGAATGAACGAAAGAACGTGGATCCTTGGGGACCGTGCCACGAGGAACCAGGGTGGTCGCGTTGTCTGGATGAGGTGAACTGGCCTCCGCCCCATTCCGCCCTTCTTCCCCTCTGAGCGCCTCCATGCAGTGGAGGCCCGGGAGGCAGTGGGCGCTACCAGGACCCTCCTGTGGCGTGTTGTAGGTCAGTTATTGCCAGAAGGGACAGAGCTCAGTGAATAGGCCCAGATTTTTTTCTAAACACTCCAGGGAAGAGGATGGGAGCAGTAGTTTTCAGTCCCTGCAGTGCCCTCTGGTCTTTTTTTCTTTTTAATGCAGAACTAGGAGCTCCTCAACCCTTATCTCTGTGAGCTAATTCTTTTATCTTTGTTTACAGGCATATAGGAAGCCGTAAACCACTAAAAGAACATCAGAACCGAGGCTTTGGGTGGAATTGCCGTGTATATGGGAGTGGGGTGGGGGTGGGCTAAAAATAGAGATAAAAGCAAAAGGAGAGGACTCCAGGAGACATGGGTGCATCTTTTAACGTCTTCCTTTTCCTCATCAATAAAAACCTGCTAATGATACTCCGGCTCTCCAAACACCTGTCAGGATGAAAGTAAAATCTTAGAAGTGAAAGTGTGCTAAGTACCCTGAAAGGGCTGTATGCCTTAGAAGTATTTATTAAGCTGTTAAATGATCGTTGCTGGGGCTGCTCCCAATCCACACCTACCTTCTTTCTTACTGCCCTACCTGACCTGGACTGCCCCTTGTGCTAGCAGGCTAATCAGGCTGATCAACGGGCTGAGAAATTTTCTACCTCATGTTGCTGCTACCAGTGTCCAGTGGCCTTGGAGTTCCTGAAGCCTTCCCAGCAGGGGTCGACCCCCTTGACCTAGGGAGTCAGTCTTTGGGGAATGGGAGGATCATGATGCTGGATCCTACACTGTGGAGGGGTGAGTGCAGTTGTAGGGATGTGTCAACGACAAAATTACAACATGTTTAGTTTAAAGAACTTAATTGGCTTTATTTTCTATACTGGAATCAGACAACACTTCATTCCATAAAACAGAGTAAGTGTTCCCATGAACTCAGCAAAGAAATTTGGTTTTATATATAGAAAAGAACTGAAGAAAGAAAGAGCAGAAAGAAGATTGGTCATTTCAAGGTTACTCTGGTTGTTAGAGAAGAGAGATAAAACTTTTAAAAAAATTGGTTAACATCAGGTTATTTTTTTAAATAAGAATTAAAGCAGGGGGAACTTCATTATCATGCTTGATTGAAATAGGCCTTTTTCGGAAATTTGGGCTATTATTCCTCCTGTTTTTTTCAAAAGGTCAAGTGATAGTTTTGGTTTGGTGGCACTGAATTTTAGAATAAGTGACTCTGTTTTTATTTTTGGACTGGCCTTTGGAGCCTAGTGCATGAGCTTAGTCTCAAATAATTTTTTTTTTGTTGTTGTTGTTTAACAGGAGCTTTCTGGACAAGAAACCTAGAAAACTGAGAAATACAGAAAATAAAAAGAAAATAGAAGAGAGAGAAAAAAAAAAAAGGCATAGGCTGGAAATCTGGGTCCATGAACCAAAGCCCTAAAGGGAAGAATTCTTTGTAATTCTGTGACTTGGAGTTGAGTAGTGTCTTTTGCATTTCTGTTATTTTTTGCTATTGTCCAGGTAGCCTAAATTATTCTATAAGGCAGTGATAGGGAAAGACATTTTTATCAGAAAAGCCATTAAATCCCATTCTTATAAAGAAACCAATCCTATTATCTTACCTATAGCTGATTAGGCCAGGAATATTGTGATGCCTGAATTAAAAACTGTTCTGGGGGCTGAAGATGTAGCTCAGAGTTAGCATGCTTACCTCGAATGTAGGAGGTCCTGGGTTCAATCCCCAGTACCAAAAAAACAAACAAGAAAGAAAACAAACAAAAATATTCTATAGGCAATAGCTTGATTAATTGAATCCTCTGTTAGAGATGTTGAATCTAAGAGGCCCAAAAAGAAGAGACCACTAGAAAAATACCAAATTCTAAATCCTCAAGTAACAGAAAGGAAGTGTTATTGAATAATATGTAATAAATTCCAACTATTTAATATTTTCTGGATTTATTTCTTTCTGAAAGGAAAAAGCCAAACTAAATCACAGCTAATTCTCTGACACTTGATTTGAATACACCTGTGCCTTTTAATTTTGACTATTTCAGGGACTTCATAGTACTTCCTCTTCCCTGAGTAAAGAAATTGGCCAAGACCGAGTCTCAGTCTGTGTGGATTCATCTAACACACACACACACACACACACCCCATAGCATAATGCTTAACTTATTGAGAGGACCTATTATCCTATTATGGTAACTTTTTTGTTGTTGTTCTAGGGATTGAACCCAGGGATGCTACCACTGTGCTATGTCTCCAGCCCTTTTTGTTTTGAGACAGGGTCTTGATAAGTTGTCCAAGTGAGTCTTGAACTTTCTATCTTCCTGTGTCAGCCTAGTCACTGGGATTTCAGGTGTGCAGAACCATGCCTGGCCTACGATGGTAACTTGATGTATGTCCTCTGACTTCCTGGTTCCCTATTAGCTATCCACATAAAGCTTTACATTTTTGGTACTGCTGCCAGCCTTCCATCAGTTCCTCCTATTGATTATAATGGATCCCTCTCAGAAATGGTGGCTTCTACTAGCTCTGGTTTGTTACACTGTTAATTGTCTCCCACTGAAGCCCCAGTTCAGCAGAAACATGGATTTTGGGTGCAGAGGCTGCATCAGGCTGTTGGGACTGAGTACCTGCTGCTGTTCCCTTTTCCTCTCCCTACTCCCTCAATTCTAGGAATTATCAGTATTTCCATCTTCCAGGGATAGTATCAGCATGCAACTTGTTCTTTCTCCTATACCCATCTTCTTTTTAGCAGAAAGTCAATTAAAAATATTTTTTTCAATGCAGTGCCTCATTATTTAGCCATTTTTGGCTGAGTATAGATATTCCAGAAACATATCTCATGGCCAGAGGAGGTAAGTCGGGTTGAATTTTTCAGAAACTTTTGTATCTAGTCTTAGATTCCCACTAAGCTTCAAGCCACTTTAAAGGCAGAAGTGCTGGTTGTAAGGAAATCCTGTACTGGAAATAGAGCCAGAAGACAGGCCCTGAGGCAGCTCTGGAATGGGCTCTTCCCACTGACTATTGAGTCTTCTGGTAACCCACGTTCAGGTCTGCCCTCTTCCTTTCTCATTGTGTATAGCCAGTTGTCATGAGCCATGTGTGGGCTGTGTGTGCACTATGTTGTGCATAGCCAGTCACTCTGTATTCTCCTGGCTAGATCTGAAGTACTTGGTCTGAGGGCCTTAGATAATTATCACCATTCCTGCTGGTGAAGCCAGGTTACTTCATGGGTAGACAGCTAGCTTGGAATTTAGCTGCCTTTAGATCAGGACCATATTTTTGGTCTGAGCCACTGGTTAAAAGATGCCTAGATGCTGGTTCCATTCTTAGTTTTTTGAGGAATCTCCGTAGTGCTTTCCAAAGTGGTTGTACCAATTTGCAGTCCCACCAGCATCCATAAGAATGGAGTCCTAATTAGAATAAGATATACTCCATGCTTGTATAATGATATCTGAATGAATTCTAGTATCATGTATCACTAAAAAGAACCAATAAAAATAAAGAAAAAAAGAATAAACATGGAATCCAAAATTTAAAAAATAAATAAAAGATGCATAAAATTGCTTCTTTGAAAAAGTTGGGGAGAGATTGATCAAAGGGTGCCAAGTGACAGTGAGATAGGAGTAAGAAATTTTGGTGTACACAGTGCAATAGTGTGACTACAGGCAATGATCATGTACTATGTATTTAAAAAAAAAACTAGAGAAATGATTTTACCCTAAAGAAATGATATAAGCTTGAGGATATAGTTTTAAAATTTTTTGAGGATATATATTTAAAGATTAAACAATGCATTCATGTATGGAAACATCACATGATATACTTTTTTTTAAAAGAGAGAGAGAGAGAGAGAGAGAGAGAGAATTTTTTAATATTTATTTTTTAGTTCTCTGTGGACACAACATCTTTGTTTTGTATGTGGTGCTGGAGATCGAACCCGGGCTGCACGCATGCCAGGCC